CTAAACTCAATCAAAACCACTGATGACAAAACTTTGTTTAGCAACGAATCGATTAGCAATTGATTTCACGTTATATTAACTAATTTTAACTTCTGAGATTTTAAATTCTTATCAATACCTTTAAAACAAGAATATTATAAACAGTACTATAGATTTGTTGAGTTGTATGATCAATAACACATTACGATAAAGAATATCCTAAGTGCTAATTTATATCTTAATGAAGTTTGAGATTAACAGGTAGTTGTAACCGCCCCTTCAATGTTAGTGTCGTCTGCAGACTATGGCGTGTGCTGAGCCAAAATTGGTTTATTACTTTAGATTTGTAAAATACGAGGATTCTTTTAAAACTATTACGCAGTTTTCTTTAATCCAAAGAAAGACTTAAACTAAAAGACTAATAAGACTTAATAAAATTGTATGGAAACATAATAAATGTAGAAGAATTTTTTTTTTTTGACATCTAGGTTTAAAATCTTTTTCAAATTGCATAGTAAGCTACATTCGTGATAAAGAAAAACGTGTTTAAAATTAAAAATGAATGTAACAACTATTTGCTAGGTTTTGTAAAAGAAAACGTATTTTATTTAATCTAGGGCATTAGTTTCCTTGCATGACAATAGTTTTGAAGGTTTGTGTTCTTTTCGTTATATAAAATAAGTCGACCTCATACACACAAGAAATAAGGATAAGCAATTTGCAGACAATTGTTTAGCCAATTGATATGATATTCCCCTTTTCTTGGTGGGTATAATTCATATTGATAGTCGTAAGGATTCAATTGTAAGATTTTGCAAGGGTACTTCTCTATGAGTTATTCAATAAATTACCTTTAATAAATATTGATGGACACAAAAAGAAACTAGAACTTATAAGTCTTAAGCTTAAGATAAATCATAGCTTAACTTGTTAAGGCAAATCAGGCTAGAAGTAAATAGGGATCAAATTGTGATCCAGAATGGTTATGCTAAAAATAAACATATAAAACATAACATAGAACATTAGTAAGGTATATTTTGACGAACGTAGATGCGATTAAAAAGTAGTTGATTATATCTTATATTTATATAAATACTATAAATAATTCTGCTAAAACTCAATATAACTATGATTTAAATAACTATAATTTCAGACTTTAGACAAACCCAAGTATCTATACTACCAGGTAGTGCATTATCATTCTCATACACTTGTTTTCTTTGCATATCTCACACAGATGTTGTTTACCGGAAGTCAGGATATTCCCTCGACATGCAACCAATCAGAGGCACTTCCGCTCTCCCTCCCTGCAGTAAAATATTCAGCCAATACAAATTTTATAGGATTTGCACGACAAAAATAACTACGTGAGCTTTAAGAAAATCCTAGGATATCAAAGTCTTTTAGAACATTAAATTTCAAATCAAAATAACTAGATTACAGACGAATTTACATATAGCCTTAGAAGAATATTTTAAGATCTGCTTTACTGGCTAAACTAAACAATATAAGTTAGTTTTTTACTACGAATGAAAAATCTATTAATAGAAATAGCAATAGTGATGTGGAACGAACGTTTAAAACTGTTGCACCTATGGAATTATGTTTCTTCGTTTAAATGCTGGCAAAATGTGTTTGTCCTTCGACTACACGGAAATGATCACATTGCCATATTTGTAAACATAACGCAAACAAGTTCATTGCAGCTCTAGATCCCGCTTGCTAATCAGCTAATATCACAGAGTTGTTGCCTCTACGCCAATCACAGTTGCGGGTGTGGAACCTCGATAAGAAGACCTTCGATAACAAGTCATCCTTGATAACAAGTGTCATTTTCAAATACCCTTGAATTTATTTTACCCTAAATCACATGTTATTGCAAACCTCAATAAGAAGTCAACCTTGGTAACAAGTCTCGTTTAATAATCCTCATGAGAGTCTTGTTACCAAGGATGACTTGTTATCGAAGGTCTTTTTATCGAGGTTCCAAATCTTATAGACTGCTTTTAAAACACCTTAATTTAGTAAACATTTTATTAGTGTTTAAAGATTGTTATTATATTATTTCTCACAACATAATTAAAAATTCATTTGTAACCACATTCAATATGTTTCAGTATTTTCTCCCAAGTTTGCACTTAGACATTCTGTCACTAAACAACTGATAATCAAAATGCCACTTTGCGCGAGACTCAATTTCCTGGATTTCGCAACTTCCGCTGTAGAAACTTTGTTTCCTGATAAAGCTTTCATTCTTGTTCTTTCACTTTTAGGAAAAGGGTTGGAAAAATGTAATGGGTATTTATACCATTACTATATTGTATCAGCTGGAACGATGTTCGTAGGAGGTGTTTTACCCTTTATTAAGTCTGGAATAATTAATTGCATGGTTTTATAAAGAAGTGGATACAAATGACGTCAAAAACTTATAAATTAACAAAATATGTAAACAATTCAAGAAAATGTTGTAACAAAAATTTTATCATTCAGTTATTTTTTAAGGCTACCTCTAAAACCGAAGTGATTTTTCTGTAAACACTCTATTTAAAGATAGTATTGATTCAATTGTCAACCTCTAGGAACAAAATATATAGAATGTTACATTGTTTATAACAAATAGAGGAATACCTTATTTTAGCTTACCAAGTTAATCATGGCAAACTAGGTTCCTCAATAGTAAAAAAATACATATGAATAAAAAAAATTATTTTGCTTATGTTTGTATAATAAAAAAAAAACATTGTTCCGGAACGTTAACGTTGAACAGTATATTGATTTGAACGCCGTGAATATTAAAGCTATTTAACTTTAACAGTCACAAGAATTGTTTGGTGTTTAATTACATGTGAATTAAAACGTTAGGCTTTAATTTAATGTATATTAACAATGACACAGTAATGTTCTCTGACACGGCAAGCATAGTAACAAGACTAGTTACAAAGAAAACTGGCTGAATCAGAGCAGCAAAGTGGATTACTAGTTACTATTTACCAGTCGGATTCCCGGGTCTCATTTGTATGTGTTTGTTGTACATAAAACATGACCAACAACTCACTAGGGATAACGGAGATTGAAGTGGAACGATGCATTATCTGTTGCGTTATTTCTTGCTATATTTATTGTAAATAAAATATTTCAATAATCTAAGAAAAATGTACGACTAAATAAAAGTTACATGGAGGTGTTATTTTTCTGGATCACTGTATATATGATAGATAAATTTTGTAACATCTTCCTAGTCGTGTGAGTCTTTTGTTGTAAAAAATATATGGCTTCCTGAATACATTCCTTTGCTTTTTTAATAGGGCATGAAAGACGAGGAGCAGATGACAAGCCAAATGGCATGACTAAAGGTTTTGACAAAAAGATTCAAAAATAGTAAATTCCTCAATAGAGGAGTAGTATACATATATGATTGTGCATATAGGTGTGTGGGTGTGTCCATGAAAACGATAACTCGGGTATCAGTTTTGGCCCGATATCGATGTTTTGTATGAAGGGGCAGGGCGATATATAGGCTTGAAGGAGTTTAACAAACAGAAAGATCGGGTCATTGAAAAGGGTGTTATGGGGTTTGCAGTTTTTAATATTTGTTATTTTCAAATGTTTACCCTTAAAAAGTCCAACCCGATTTTCATTACAGCCAAAATCTGACGTTTTCGTGTAGGGCTCTGAAAAATTATAATTGTACCAATTAAATCTATGCTTTTACAGTTGGACTAAAGATTACGGGGAAAATTCCCAAACTGTAGGCAAACATTTTAAAATCTCATTTTATTTTTATGGGAAACAATAAACTATCGTAGTTTGTGTTTTTATCAAATTTGACAAATTTATTAATTTTATACTATACTATTACGTGTCGTAAAAACACTCCCTTCCTTCCCAGCAGCAAACATTAGTACTTAAATGTTATATTACTCATGTTTTATTTAATTGGAAAATAAATATGACAAGTAAGGAACATTTTTAGTAAAATACAATCAAACAAAAATAATCTTTCTTAGGCTGTAAGTTTTCTGCAGTTTTATTTATTTATAACCAATTGAAAACTATTACTTTACCTATTATTTCAGAACTGATAAAGGTGTTTTCTCAATATATGGTTTAAGCAAATGATGCTTATCGTAGTTTTTATTCGATACTCCCCAGAGAATTGAATTTCAACAATCTTCAGCCAAGTCTTGAACACCTAATCTAAATGCTAATAACTATTTTTACTGTCACCTTAAGTCATTAATCTCGTCTGAAATGACTTGGGTTTAAAGAAAACATAATATATTAAACCCTTTTTAAAGACTTTATTTTAAGTATAAACTTGCTTTTTAGTATCACAAATAATGTAATATTATTATTAACATTGCTTTTTCAGAAACATAATTTATTGTTAAAATAAGTTTCCTACCAAATTCAAATGTTATTTAGTATAAGTGGATGAACATATTCTACAATAACCAATAAAACACTATAGGTTATGTTTTAATCAGGAATATTTTTGGTATAATTCACAAACTAGCCTCCATTCACGTAAAAAAATCGTACAAAAATTTCTTTATTTTTCATAAAGGTTATATATTTAAAGCATGGGTTCCATTTCTGTTTAAACTTTAATTTTGAATTGGAATTTTTAATTTTTTCTTTCTTGTGTCCACGCCATTTTTCAATGAAGTAAATTGAAACACATTTAGGAAGGCTAAGCCTATTACAGTTTCTTTGCGTGTGCCCAAATCAAACCTAGGAAGATTTATAAACGGGAAAGTAGTAATCTTATGGAATCGAACCCGTCCCTCCTGCACCGCAACACAAAACCACGTCAAACCCACGAGCACATCAAAATAAAAGGTGAATTCGCCCGTAACGTAGTAAATTTGTTGCCAACACGATTGGACTGTTGAATTTTTGTTAAAAGCAATTTGTATGAAAACAATACAATATACTGTATTTACTTAATCATATGACGATTAGTATACTATGAATCATCTTCAAATAGTTCAGGGATTGGATAAACAAAATTACCTTCATAAAGTTCCGTAGTTTTTAATTTTCAACAAACTTGATGTAAAATTCCAATAATTAATTACATACAACTGAGTCTCCGAATGGTGCCTGTCCATCTAACGTGTTTTAATGTCATTGTAAGGCATACAGTCTGCTAAAACTACCATCTGCATTTACCGCTGTTGCTGATTTGCAATACATAAGCTCCACCTTAAGCTTGTCAATTCTACTTAGACTTCCTCTAATAATATCGTATCCTGGGAGTTCTTTATGTTGATTCTGAAACGAAAACTCATTTTTACTATTACTAGCAGCATCACTTCTTGACTTAAAAGTACGTGATATATTTGAATAAACATTTTCTATTGCAACTCATATTAAAACACAAAATCTAACGTAAGTCATTTTCTTCTCTACATTTTAAAGAAATGACATTAGAATATTTTACTTGAAGTCATTCGAACAATTATAAACTAGATAAACTCACCTTAGACACCATTGTTGGACCAACAGGGAATCCATTCTCGTTTTGTTTTGCAAACGCAATCGAAGAATAGTGCATAATGCTGTCATAGTCATATCCAAGGCCAAAGTCTGTGTGATCCACGAACCTTTTCTTCTCAAAGTTATGAGTTTGGTCTGAAAAATTCGTGTTTATGGATTATCCCTGGTTATGCACAAATGCTTAAAATAATGTTTAATAATCAAATTAACTTAGCGAAAGTCAAACATAGCTTTAAAGAAACTGGTAATGTTAACAACTAACTTATTTGCTATGTGAGGTTGCTATAAAACATTTTTCCTACCACTGCATGGAAATGATTACGTTGCCAGACCTGGAAACAATACGCAAAATATCTCATTCTCGTTAAATCAGCTGAGTTCACCTTTAGATTTTCTATAAAATACTAACATCCGGTAAGCAAGTAACATATCCTTGAAAACAAAATATAGCCTGAAAGACATTAAAAAAAAAACTTAGAAGTTAATCTATGTTATCAGTAAATAGTGTGTAGGACAAATGCTGTGTGTATTTCGAGCACTGTCATTGCCGCTCTTGAAATGTATAGCCGCACTTAGCTAAAAAAACATCGTGCCTTTACAGTTCTCTAGCAATGACGTACTTTGCACTCTTAATACACAAATTGATATTCAAACTTCGAGGAGTTTGCTTTTGGGGTGAGCGCTAATGCCACTTGCACCGGACCACTGATTTTTTTACTAAAAGCAAATTGCAAATGTAGGTGACAAACGAATCATATATTGGCATTTTTAAATACCAACTTGGAATGATGTTAGACCACACAATCTCCACATAGTTGTCCCTGTTGTGGGCTGCATGTTGATGAGCCATACCCAATGTGTGACCAAGTTCGTGAAGGATAGTTCCCATGTACAAGCAGCTAGAAACAAACCACATAAGTTGGGGAGTGAAAATAGTTTTCTTATTATGACCAAAGAATATTCCCACCACGAGCAAAGCTTGGTCCCCAGGTACTGTAACTATTAAACATGCATAACGCAGTCTTTCATCTCCTGCATTGCCTTTGTGGTGAATAGTTCGACCGAGGATTTCTAAATCCAAAATCTATAAAAAGAGTTAAAAATACTCTTATTAATTAAAATTGTTCTTTCAAAGACTTTTTTTTATTAAAGCAATAAAGAAGCATTTTCATTTCATTTCATTTCATTTCAATATAGACCCGTTGTTCGTTATGTTCGTTGAGGAATAGTCTAATTCTTTGTGAAATTTTCGTTAAATAAATATAAATCAAAACTAATTCAAATTTACTTCGTCTGCAATCCACAAATTAAAGCTAAGACGTGACGGTTTGGTACAATATTAACTGTTTCTTGAACTTACAAAACGATCTAGGATTTTAAAAATATATTTTCCATCGTACTGCAAGCTTTTCACTTGTTGAACCAAACTATAATCGCAAACGATAGTACATCATTCTAAAACATAATGCCAATTCATTTTCCAGAGCCATTTATTATACTAAGTAAGTTTAATAAATTTGCAGATATTTCTACTCATTCATACATAAATATTTGATCTAAGCATATTTAAATCGATTTCAAACATAAACACTTAGTAAAATCATAAACATATTTTAGTGGAAATGTAAGAGGTAAGTTTAAGGCTGGCAACACACTGCAGCTGTCGAGGCGAGGCGAGACATTTTGACTAGGTGTCTTGATCGACAGTGAATGGCCACTTTCGGACCACCATAGCCTACACTGCGAAAGACAAGACAAGAAGGTATTATGACTAGAACGTGATTGGACTGTGAAACCGCACCAAAATCTTGATACCTTGACTTGCCTCACCTTCTGCTGTGTGTTGCCGCCGCCCGGCCTGAGGATTTTAATTTCACAAAATATTTATAGCAATTCTTACTTCTGCCCCAAACTGAGGCGTTGTTCTCCACCAGCGGGTCCAATGTGAGACCAGCATTCATTATCGGGACCCTTGAATATATACACGTAATCGCTGAACTGTCCTTCATTTATAGGCACAAACTTTATCTGGCAAGATCCATCGTTGATATGGCGTGGAGACAGAATTCCTTCCCATGTCGCCATGGCATTTAAAATCAATACGTGCTCTAGTTCAGCTGAGGAAAAATTAAGGACAATTTTATTTAATCCTGGATATGTAATAGCTATTTACCTTACAAGTGTAGTAAGAGCGTTTTTACATCACACAGGTGAATGTTGTGCAACGAGCGGAAGCGAGTTGCATAATTTACCTAAGTGATGTAAACACGCTCTTGCGTAACGTGTAACGCACAAGATTTTACCTCACCCGACAATATACAGGAGGTTACGAACAATATTTTTCATTATCCATTTCACTCATCTTCTAACAGTAACGTTCACTTACAAACAAAAGCTAGGTAAGGAAAATTCTTCAAAACATAACAATAAAATTCAAGCGCACAGCTGATTTCTAGCGTTGAACGTTGTTGGCTCCATAGAGGTATATTTTTTCTGTTAAGCACTCAATGTTATTTAAATGGGTTTCATTACCTCACCGAGTGAGTTTTTTTCAACTTTACATCACTCGAGAAGTAAAGAAGTTGTGTACATCACGCTTGGGATAGGGAAGTTTAACATGGCGGGTTAGGTAAATATTTTTATTAGTTATGACAATGGCAAACAATTTGGTGTTATTCTAAACAAAAATGTACAGTGAATGTGGAGAGAGATTAATCAGATGGTTTTGTTACAGAATAAGTTCACCTGTTTATTTTTTTTATTTATTTCAATGATCAAGGACAGATGGGTAAAATATTTAAAAATCGAAACGCTACTGATTTTTTTCTTAACGATTAAAACTATACTAGGCAAACACTACGACCAAGCCACTGAGTTTGAGTTGAAATTGGCTTAATCTGCAATATCATGTAAAATAATTTATAGTGATTCTAAATTTCATAGTAATTAAAATATGATTCTACGATATGATTCATGAAACAATGACAAATTACGAAATACCGTTCTTACTTATATTGCCAATACAGCCTAAAAGTAGTAAATCCTACATAAAACTGGTGTATAAAATGAGCGGTTACTAAAAAACGAAGTTTACTACATTACAAATTAAAATCTGTCCAATCAGCTGATATACATATCTCTTAACCATGGTGGCAAAACTTCATCAGCGTAGAAATATTTTATTTCAAATTAGCTTTCAGTGTAATTATTTGAAATACTATCGAAGAAGCCTACTTCAAAATTATTAGAATACTTACTAAATCCTTCTTCTATAAAGTAAGGAATTATTCCATTTGGCCATAGTCCATCCCTTAAAACGTTACGACCTTTGATTCCTTCGCTTAGCTTTATGTCCCCTTGGTACTGTCCACTCATTTCCCAAGGATTTCCAAGGTTTCTTGTAATTGTTCTCCCTGCATTATAAACTATAACAAAAATGATTATACAATAATCAGGAGTTTAATCGATGGACTTGTTATTACTATGCTATGTTGTTATTTTAGGGCACATACAAAGTATTGAACAATCTCAGATAGATTGTTTCAAAGTTATTATTTCTCGTGTACACTATTTTGAGCTCTGGTGTCTACTATTATTTGTCAATAAATTACTCTGTGGAGGTGGTTTTGAGGTTCAGTAGAGCCACTAAATTGCATTGATATTGTTGATTTTTTAACAAACTACCAACAATTACCACTCTGCCTTTTGTAATGGTAAACACTCACGCTTAGACACATATGGACGAAAATCTCCAACTACAGCTATTTTAGAGTAAAAATATAAGAAATCTAACATGTTTATAGGAAGGAACCAGAAAAATATTTTACACAGCATTGACGTATAACCACAGAATTGAATCCATGTACCTGAATATTTCTCATCTTATGTAATTTAAAAGAGAGTTTCATTATTTTTTTATAATCAATTTCTTTAATTTATCCCCCTATGTATTGATTTGTGCTTTGCTAACCACTATTGAAATTCAACACAAGTGGTTTTTTTTTTCTTTTTTTTTACTATAAACTTAATTTTGTCCCATAATAGTTCACGGAAGCCAAGTGTTTGGATTTTTTACTTATTTCTATACTCACGATCAGATGAATGGTCCGTTAGTTCGGTTGGTTTGCTGACTACTCCAACTATAAATAAATTGAGGTGGAGCAGAAGAATCGACTTGACCAGCTAAAATCATTGGATAAAGATATCACCGTATATAATGTTATCACACTATTCTTATATTTTTATTGTTTAGCTATATGTTCGGGTTTTAAAAGTTTTGAACTTAAAATAAACTAACTTAGTTTTTTAAGATCCAATTATAATTTCCATCCGATTTCCATGGGCACCTAAAACTGTCATTTAGTGTCTAATCAACTAATAAAAGAAAATACAGCACAGGTAAAAATCAGCAATGTTAACAAAATACAAAAATAATACAACTTTATAAGACACATTCAGCGTCCTAAATGAATAAGTATAGCAAGGGTTTGAAATAGAGATCACACTCGGTATAAGGCTAAAGAGAAAAATACCTTTAAACAATCAACAATTTGTATTTAAAATATGGTAAAACATTTGAAAACAATGAGAATCGTTTATAACTGTGTACACTATAAAAAAAATTAAATGAATATACAATACTGTAACAACTAAGGAAAATGACACAGGATATTTTTGATTTATTAGGAAAATGCCAGAAACACAAAAAAAAGAATTAATAAATTTAAAGCAACAAATCAAACTTGATCAAATAAACATATAGGAAAAACGTCAATCAAGGCAGATTTTATTATTTATATTTTTTTGTACATCTTTATGTGTAAGATTTTTAAAAACGATACAAACTGAGGAATAATTGTATATAATGTTGTGTACAATGTTTTTTTTTAATTTCTTAGTTTTTAAGCAATAGTTCAATTTTTTCCATTATTAATGAACATATCAAGGCTATTTCATTATAAAAACCAGAATATTAATGAGAATTGAAATTAAACCGCAACTAAATTAAAATAAGATATTACTTACTTCCATGTTGTGAAATTAGTAGTGTAAATATTAAGCCTAAAATTGTCTAAGATGTAAAATTAAGTACTCTACAGTTTAAATGATTCGTTTCATATATCTACGCACCATTAAGAGTAAAAGAACCAATGCAATGGAAGCTTTGAAGAACACAAAAACTTATATCTTCATTGTTAATAGACTGTAAACAAACATAATGCTTCTACACCCAGTAGCTTTACAATAAAACTTAATGATAAATAACGTATCAAACGATTTCCATCTTAAAAAACAGTCTTAGTTTTATTTTCAAAGTTTATTCCCTATTAATTATTATTATGAGCAGTGTTGTTGGTTTTATTTAATAGTATTCAATTATGGCTTTAAAAAATAACATAATGCTTTCTTATAAGCATTAAAACACAATTATTAATATTCATAGCTAGATTTAAGGTGTAAGCCTAAAATATTTAACAAGCAAAGAAAATGCATTAGGTATTTATTATTTTAAGAGGCAAATGAGGAAAATTAATAATGCTTGGATATTTTTCCAAACTTACGTTATAGGTGTCGATAAAAATAAAATGATTTCGGGCATTAAATTTATGATACTATAGGTTTTGACACCTGTTATTAGATACAATACAAGCTATGGTATTTTACACTTATTAATAATATAGATACCGGTATTTGTTAATATTAATTTCAATATTAATTTAAAACAAACATATTAAAAAATTGTTTTGTGTGTTAGCTTGGTACTTGTCTTTCATGCCAGTTTTAGGTAAATTATTTAATTATTCATTTTTGAGCCTCTTATAAATAAAAAAAATCATTCACATGAATGATAAAATAATATTTGTATTTAAAAAAATTTCCATTCTAAATAACAGGAATCTTGAAGCAATCCTTTGTGGGATGGATCTGAATCCTGCTTAAATTTATATCCATCGAAGATGTACCTTGGCTTAAATCCGTGTACTCTGTATATTATTGATAAGGAAGCAATTTTCAGTATTTCTCTGGCTGTCGCTTCCATCATAGTCACTTCCAGTTCCGGAGAGAAATCTTCTCCATGAAATATTCATTCTAACGCGATCACTGTATGGATCTCGAAGTATCTCTGCTACAAGCAAATATGTAAACCAAAGTAATGGAAAATTGTTCCACGTTTGTTTAAACAACGTACATAATTTATTATTACAATAATTCTTTTGTTAACTTATCAACTTTTTAAAAGTTAACAATATTTAATAGCCACTCAATATGGGAACTTATGATAAACAACAAAACTAATATAGTTGATGGCCAAGAAAATCTCTCTTTTCACAATGGCTGTAAAAAATGAGTTACGACGAATAAATGAACAGTTTATAACCAAGACGGTAATCTTTAATTACGTTTCGAACAAAAATTTCCAGTATTGTAATATGCAAATAATTTCAACTACAGCGAAGAATACGTCAATAGTTATTTGTGTAACTAGTGGTGAAAGTGGCACTTTGCTGCACACGAGAGCAATGTTTACGCACGAGCCGCAGGCGAGTGCGGAATGATCTCGAGTGCAGCAAAGGCCTTTTTCACTCGTGTTACACATTATATTTTTCCTACAGTCACTATAAAGCATATAAATAATTAGTCTTTCAAACACTATACGACACGTTTTAAGGTTCAGCTGGCAACACAAATGGTGCCTTAGAGAAAGTAGTACCCGCGGTCCGTATCACTCCGCTAGTTTTCCTCGGCAAGAAATGTGCTCCGCGTTTTGAGAATATAGTTCCGTATGTTTTTGTAATTTGAAGTGGTTTCCGCGCCTAAAAAAATGCTTTAAAGGTATTTTCTTGTTTATTAAGATCGTAGGAATGTTTTAAAAACGTTTAAAAGAAAAGTCCAGAAAGTTCAGAAATACCGAAACTATAGGCCTAAACACGAAATGACAGGGTAAATCGTAGTTATAATAGTCAATCAGCTGCTCATAGTATTATTATCTTTAAGTGTTGCCAACCTATTTCCAAGCGTACACGGATTACGTGCATAATAGAACCACGCTGTTTTGTGTTGTTTCGTTGGAATCCTGATGAGCGGCAAAGTATAAACCGTACGGCAAAGTATAAATATGCAGCAATTAGCAGCTTTCTGTACTATAAACAGTACAAGGAAGCCAACTTTGTCGGGTGACTGTAGGAAAAATGCATTTCATTCACAATATTATGCATTACATAAAGACAGTAGGTACTCGAGTCGACCGACGATATTTCCCTAGAACGTTTTGTATGATTTACAAGGTTGTTATGCTGCAATATTACTGAAGTAGGGGTACTTGACTGGGAGTCAGTGAATACTTTACCTTAGCTTCATCCGTGGAAGATTTATGTGGGCTTCATCACACAAAGTAAACGTAATTTTAAGACAATATATTTAATAACTTACGTAGCTGAATAACTGAACTAGTAAGTAAAGCATTCACCAGTTAAATCCCAACTTTCTTATGTATATTTTGTATTTATTATATTTCTATGCATACCATTAGCAAGTGAGTGCTTCATAAGTTTCATACGTTTATAAGGCCCTAGTGTAGTTAGTTCTAGGACCGCATTACAGACTGCAGCACTTGTCTACAACGGTTTTCAGCATAAACAGTTGTAAGTGAGTATTCCATATTTTCACTTTGTATAGTAACAAAACAAAGTATTTACATTTGCTAGCACTATAATCTGATTATATACTGAAATCACAACATTATTTCTCGTAAAAGGCTAGTTAAATTACAAATCTACATCATACTCCTATACCGTAAGGTTCATATACTGTAATAGAGTAAACCCAACGAATTATCGCTTCTGCATGAATATAAATATAATGTTTATAAGCAAATTTGAAGCTTTCAATACCAAATTATATTTTAAACAAAATACTGTGTAAGCAAATCTAACAAAATTTTGATGGCTATACTGTTACGTAATAATCCATATTATGGAAACTAATTTGTTGGATTTTTTTATTCAGAAAATCGACTCTTAAATATGGATTTTTATAGGCATAAATGGGTATTATTTTTTTTATCTTATCCTGTAAGTGTGCCTTTTGCGTTGTTTTGGATCATATATCATGAAAAATCTTCATCCTACAGGCTTTTAACATTTCAGAGATTGTGCTGAATTCTGTTGTCAATAATCTGAACTTTTAAAGTTTACATTTGTTTACATAAAAATATATGGCCATGATACAATTTTGTTTACATCCATACGAAAATGGGAATATTGTTACAGTTAGTGATGTTTTATTGAATTCAAGTAAAATATTGTAATGTCATTTGTTTAAAATGTAATGGAGAAAATTACTTCTGTTAGTTTTGTGTTTTCATAGTATGTGTTATTAGTATTTGTAATTTGTTTACGATGCCTTGAAGATATCGCACACGCAATGAAAATAATAGGGATATGATGAGAAATAATCTATTTCGCCCGTACCAACTGCCCTTAGTCATGGACAATTAAGCAAAAGCCCCTCTGTTTGAGCTTGAACTAATGAATGAGGTATGCAGTGTTTGTGATTCTCTATATTTTATACGTCTTCACTTGTTTATGCATGGTTTAATATGTATTGCAAAAATTAATTACGTAATTATTAATTGAGCTATGTTCAGAGTTTGCTTAGAACAATTACAATTCGGTTATCATGTAAAAAATGGTTTATTATCAACTTAACTCAGAGTAAAAGAAAATGGTAAAATAATTCAAATATATCACAGATGGTCACGCTGGTTGCTAGTAGATTTATAAGTCTATCATTGCGATTTCAAAAAGACGTTCTCGAATTTCCCTCACTTAAACATGCATTACCTATTCCATTACCACTTCATATTCAGTAATAGCGATGCTCGTTTAGATTCAATCGTCACTTAAATGCATTTAAAACAGTTTAAAATGTGTCAATATTTATAATTTTAAGTTGGTGAGATTTCTTTTAATGTGTTATAATTTAATTCAACTTTATTAGGTACTAGCTGTAACCCGCGGGCTTTGCCCCGTTTAACTTCTTAATTTTCAAGATGATCTCGTTCGCTACGCTCACTCACCTTTAGGTTGGAGCTCGTTCGCTGCGCTCACTTGCCTTCAGGTTAGCTCGTTCGCTACGCTCACTTGCCTTCAGGTTAGCTCGTTCACTACGCTAACTCACCTCCAGGTTGAAGTTCGTTCCCTATGCTCACTCACCTTTTGGTTGCAAATTAGCTGTTGTCATAAATGTAAAAGAAATAATAGTGCTGCACCCTGTTGGTAATCCTTGTAACTTTAATGCTATTGAACATCATAAAACAGAACCAACTTGTTTAATTGAAACAGCTGTTAAGATTTATTAATTCTCATACACTTGTTTTCTTTGCATATCTCACACAGATGCTGTTTACCGGAAGTCAGGATATTCCCTCGACATGCAACCAATCACAGGCACTTCCGCTCTCCCTCCCTGCAGTAAAATATTCAGCCAAATACAAATTTTATAGGATTTGAACGACAAAAATAACTACATAAGCTTAAAGAACATCCTAGGATATCAAAGTATTTTTGGGTATTAAATAACAAATCAAAATGACTATGATTACAGATGAGTTTACATATAGCCTAAGAAGAGTATTTTAGATCTGCTGATAAAGGTGTTTTCTCAATATAGGGTTTAGACAAATTATGCTATCGTAGTTTTTATTCGACACTCAACAATCTTCAGCCAAGTCTTGAACACCTAATCTAAATGCTAATAACTATTTTTACTGTCACCTTAAGTCATTAATCTCATCTGAAATGACTTGCGTTTAAAGAAAACATAATATATTAAACCTTTCTTAACTTTAAGTATAAACTCGCTTGTTAGTATCACACATGTAATATTAATATTGCTTTTTCAGAAACATTATTCATTGTTAAAATAAGTTTCCTACCAAATTTAAATGTTTTTTAGTATAAGTGGGTAATCATATACAATAACCAATAAAACACTATAGTTAATGCTTTAATCAGGAATATTTTCGGTATAATTCACAACCTTATATCCTCCATTTACAATAGGCATAATAATAACTCGGACATTTTCTTTATTTTTCGTAAAAGTTATAT